CTAGGCTGGCCTCAAACTCAGAGTGATCCTCCTGGCCCAACCTCCCAAATGCTAGAATTGTGTGTGTACCACCACGCCTGGCAAAGCCACTACTTCAATTAGTTAAGGAATATAAGGTTCTTCTTTGGTCTCCTTGCTAGCCTGGAGACCTCACATCCTGTCATGCTTCCTTGCCATCACTGTAGCTTCAGAATTCACCTCCTCAAATAAGTCCCCAAGTTCTTTAGGCTTTTATCCTTGTTCTTCTCTTTGCCTACACTGTTCTTCCTCAAGATAGCTGCATAGTGAGTTATCTTACTTCGTTCAGGTATTAATTCCAAATTAGCCTTTCAGGTAAGGTTTTTTCATCCCCCACTCTCATTTCATATCCCCTACCCTACTTTAGTTTGTTTTATTTTATTTTATTTTTGGCAGAACCGGGGATTGAACTCAGGCCCTTCCGCTTCCCCCTGAAGCGCTTATTCCACTGAGCCATCTCGCCGGCCCCTATTTTGTTTTATTTTATATTTTTCTTCCTTAGTAGTTTTCATTATACAATTAATTTTTTGTTTGTTCGATTTTTAAACGGGATTGAACTCTAGAGTCTTCATACTAAGCTACATTCCCAGCCCTTTTGATTTTTTTGAGACAAGGTTTTGCTAAATTGCTGAAGCTGGTCTCTGGCTTGAAACCTCCTCAGTCTCCCAAATGGCTGGGTTTACAGATGAGCCCTGTTGTTTCTGGCACCACCTTTTCCAATTTTACATCTTTTTTCTTTTGCTCATTACTGTGTCAACAGAGCACATGGTAAGTGCCCAGGACTGTTTGGTGAGTGAAAAACGGTATTTGATGTTCCAGGGAGATGATGGAAGTTAAGCACTCTCTGGTGTTTGTATTGTCTGAAGGAATGTAGTGTCATTGATTAACTTTAGACTTTGCTCAGCCACATGTGATTGGGAGAAGGGTAACTGCTAAGAGGACAGAATAGGACAGTGGCTTCAATATCCCTGGGAAGGAAAAGGCAAAAAAGAACATTTGACTGAGCCAGTGAAAGGTAGGAATGAAGAGAACGGAGCAAAGAAAAGATATGATAGAAAACACAAAGCTTCTGGATTCCTGGAGAACAATGGCAGATGCCTAAATCCTTTCACAATCCTTCAAAACTCATAAGGATCAACAGAGAAAGCAAATTAAATCACCCTAGCCCTCACCTACAAAATCACAGAGACAGAGAATGCCCCCAAGCTCAATTTACATGTAAATGGAGAGATAAATATCTGGAACCCACAGAGCCGGCTCTAAAGCGAAAAGCAAACAGTGTCGGGGATGGTGGCAGGAAAGCGCCTGGGTCCTAGAGGTGGCCAAACACTGGCAGGAGCTCAGATTGTGCCTGGAAGGAGGAAATTCTATGTAGAGAGAGGAAAGATGGAGGACAGATTCTGAGACCCAGTGACTCAGAGTGCTGACCCCTGGGTGATCAAAAGAAGCATTTGGGCAAATTGGTGGCATATTAAGAAAATCTCAAAAAAAAAGAAAAAAAAGAAAAGAAAAGAAAACCTCAATCTATTTATAAATAAACACTGCACAGGGCTGGTGAGATGGCTCAGTGGTCTAAAGCACTTACTTAGAACAAGCTTAGCAAAGCACAGGGACCACGGTTCAATCCCCCAGCACCACATGCCAGCCAGCCCCGCCCCCTGGTGGGCTGAGCTGGCCACACACACACACACACACACACACACGTGAGCGTGCGCGCGCACACACACTCACACATAAATAAATAAAATTTAAAAAAATATTAAAAAAAAAAAAAAAAGAAAAATACCCCTACAAACTATAGTCACATATAACCCGGTGAAGAGAGCCATCTGGTCCTTCCAATGTTAACAGCCCAGGAAGAAGAGCAGATCATCAGCAACTTACCATCACAAAGCATCCCAATGATGCTGACCCAATGCTTGTAAGAAAGGTATTTGTACTTGAGAAAAGTCCCGATGGAACTGTAACAAAAGAGTTGGATCACCTAGGATAGGAATTTCCTAAAGGGCTTCTAGGAAACAAGGAAGACTTTTTTAAAAAATGTAGATAATCCTATCACTGTTCTCCCCAGTTCCCCTCCACTTCCTACAGTCCCTCCCTCAGGGGGACATACAGACATACAGAACAATCAGGTTAAAAGCAAACCTCCTTCTTCCCCACCCTTAAGGAAGCCAAAGTACAGTGATATGAGGTTATATCCACAAACAATGCACTTTTCTGTCACTAAGGAGACAGATCCAGAACATCCTACCCATAAACGCAGTACTCATATAGCCTTTAACATATTTTGCTCTTGAAAGAATTAAGGCAGAATGTGTTAGACAATGGTGTCCAAGGCCTTTACACACTTGGTTGCTTAGATAACATAATTCAAGTCTTCCAAATGGCACAAAGTGATGTGACCCATCTTATTGGCATGTGTCTACTATCTACACAATTCCTACATTTTGAATCACAATTAAAGACATTCATCTCAGAACAGCCACAGAGTAATCAAGATAGTGGGGATGACAACCTTAAAGCAGTTACGCAGGAAATGCTATCTGGCACAGGACAATATGCTGACTTAAAGGTCCAGGCACGTGCCCCACCTCTCCTTTTCATGCAATGCAAGGAGCTGCTATATCACACATGGATTTCTGTACCAGAAGATGGCACACCTAGTAAATCCTTTACCCAGGGGCCAGGGAGATAGCTCAGTAGAATAAGCACTTCCCTGGCAAGCCCAAGGGCTTGAGCTCAATCCCTGGTTAGGCAATAAATAAATAAATAAATCCTTTACACAGATACTCCAGGGCCCCAGGGAAACTTATACCCAATTTGTAGCAAGGTTGCAAGAAGCTGCAAATAGGCAATTTTCAGGACAACTTGCCTTGGGGTTAATAAGGCAAATGTAGGCCACTCACCTGGCTCAGCTCACAGTGCTCACCTACTTCCCACAACTCTCAGTCATTACTCCTCAAGCCATTCCTCCTCCACTGAATAGAACTCAGGTGTGGCCCTGGGTCAGTCTCTTTGTTCCAGAAAGCCATCTTCAAGGCTGAACTTATGGCCCCTTGGCTCCCCAGTAGTTATACATATGTTTTAGTATCTTTACTTTTGCCGTGGTTGCACTGGGAGTGGCAGATTGGAATTGATTTAGTGGGATTCCAATAACAACATATCTTTGGGATCACAAATATTGACTTCTTGGAACTAGAGGAGAACTTGGAGGGGACTCCTACAGAACTGGTTTTCATTTTCTTCCTTTAAGGAAAGTTTCACAGGATTCTGTGACTACAATCCATAAATCCTGGACAACTTTCTGAAGCTATATTAGCTCTTGAGCCATAGCATAAAGGAAAAAACAAATGGATTCTTCTAGAAGTGGGATTCCTATTGGCAGGATAAGATGGGAAAGGAAAGGTATGAGAGCCATTAGGTAAACTCATTAATAGGGTGAGACTAGCTCTCAATCTCATTTTATGACAAAATAATAAGAATATTCAGTATGGTGATAGGTAGATTGTGTAGCAACTTTCCTTACACCCACTGTGTTTCAAAATCATTTGATTCAGCAATTCTAATATCAGACATGGTAAATATCAAATTAAAACTGATTAGAAGAGGCTGGGCATGGTGATGCATGCCTATAATCTCAGCATATGGGAGACTGAGATAGGATGATCCCCATGAGTTCAAAGCCAGCCTGGGCTATATAATGAGACCCTGTTTCAAAAAAATTAAAAGAAAAAAAGAAAAAAAAAAAAACCAAGGCTGGGGAGATAGCTCAGTGGTCTAAACACCTGCCTTGAAGTGCAAGGAACCAGGTTCCATCCCCAGGACTGCATGCCATGCCAGACCTGAAACTGGGCATGGTGGCATGCACCTCTAATTCTCAGCAATGGTGAGGCTGAGACAGGAGGATCACTATGAGTCCAAGCTGCATAGTGAGATCCTATGCCAAATAAATAAATAAAAGATTAAAACAACAACAGAAAATCCTGAACCAACAAACAAATAACTAGAAGAGACAAAAAAAGGTTACTACATACTAGTTAAGGGAACAATTCAACAAGAAGAGATAATATTGATAAACTGTAAGGTTTTTCATTTGGCATACATGAAAGGAGAGAAATAAAAGAAGCCTGCATTGCTTGGCAGCCTTAGAGGGCTGCTTAAAGAGAAGCAAGGTACCCTCAGAGGAGAGAGTTGAAAGTGAGGTTTTTTTTTATTGTGTTGGACTAGAGGTGGAATTTACATGGCCAGGCGAAGCATCAGTAGCTTCACGTAGGAAGAGGATTGGAGGGTTGTTGGCACTTGTGGAAAAAGGAAACCAAGAGTCTATTTGGGGACTAGAAGAAGAACACGGAAGTTGGTCTGGGAGTGAAATGTTGTTTTGGGACCAAATGCCATGTTGGATCACCTGCAGACCCTGGCAGAGTTCCACATGGGCAGAAACCCATCATAAACATGTAGAATATGCATCAGATACTAGAGCACCTATCTTCATACAACAAAAACTGTTATAAATTAAAAGATCAAATGAACAACACAATCATAGTAGATTTTTTTGTTTGTTTGTTTTTTTATTTTTATTTTTTGCAGAACCAGGGATTGAACTCAGGCCCTTGCACTTGCCAGGGAAGCGCTTATTCCACTGAGCCATCTCTCTGGCCCCCATAGTAGATTAAAAAAAAAAAATTTTTTTTTAATATTCCCTTTTTCTTTTATTTATCTATTTGTGTTTGTGTGTGTGTGTGTGTATGTGTGTGTTTGTGTGGCCAGCTTAGCCCACCAGGGAGCGGGGCTGGCTGGCATATGGTGCTGGGGGATTGAACCGCGGTCCCTGTGCTTTGCTAAGCTTGTTCTAAGTAGATGCTTTAGACCACTGAGCCATCTCACCAGCCCCCGCCCCCATAGTAGATTTTAACACCCTACTTTCACACACTGAAGAAAAGACCAACGAAACAAAAACCAATAAAGACTTTATCGCTCCCGTTGCCATGGCCGCCTATAAGCTGGTGCTCATCCGGCACGGCGAGAGCACCTGGAACCTGGAGAACCGCTTCAGCGGCTGGTACGATGCCAACTTGAGCCCGGGGGGCCACGAAGAGGCGAAGCGCGGCGGGCAGGCGCTGTGAGATGCTGGCTACGAATTTGATATCTGCTTCACCTCAGGGCAGAAAAGAGCAATTCGGACCCTCTGGACAGTACTGGATGCCACTGACCAGATGTGGCTGCGGGTGGTGAGAACTTGGCGTCTCAATGAGCGGCACTACGGGGGCCTGACTGGCCTGAATAAAGCAGAGACGGCTGCCAAGCACGGCGAGGCCCAGGTGAAGATCTGGCGGCGCTCCTACAATGTCCCACCACCCCCGATGGAGCCTGACCACCCCTTCTACAGCAACATCAGCAAGGATCGTAGGTATGCAGACCTCACTGAAGATCAGCTGCCTTCCTGTGAGAGTCTGAAAGACACCATTGCCAGAGCTCTGCCCTTCTGGAATGAAGAAATTGTTCCCCAGATCAAGGAGGGGAAAAGGGTGTTGATTGCAGCCCATGGCAACAGCCTGCGGGGTATAGTCAAGCATCTGGAAGGTCTCACTGAAGAAGCCATCATGGAGCTGAACCTGCCAACTGGTATTCCTATTGTCTACAAGCTGGATAAAAACTTAAAGCCCATCAAGCCCATGCAGTTCCTCGGGGATGAAGAGACCGTGCGCAAAGCCATGGAAGCTGTGGCTGCCCAGGGCAAGGCCAAGAAGTGAAGACCACCAGCAGCCTGCGCCCCATCCCCCCACCCTCCACACCTCTCCCCACCTGTCACACTGACCACATCTGTAGGCGTCCTGTGTTGTAGCTGCGGATGGGGACTAGTGGCTCCCATTTCCCTTTTAGCATTTCGGCTCCTGCACCCACTTCATTGATAGAATCTAGTCAGGACAGGACCTCTAGGACACAAGCTCTAGTTCTCAGTCCAAGCCCAGGGAAGGCTCTTCTTATCCGGGAGAGCTGAGAGGTAGTAACTGTCTAGTGCTTCTGCTTTGTTTACTAAGGACCTGCTTGAGTAGGGGACAGGGATAGCCATGCCAAGGCACGACCAGTGAGGAGCGGCCTGAGCATGCTGCTCCCCAGAGCCAGCCCTGCGCTCTTCTGTAGTCCAGTCAGTCAGCGAGCCCTTGACATTCCAGTGAGAGATGAAGGTAACCTGCTTGGTGACTGAAGTACAGTTTCTTCCCTCACCCTAGAGGAGCTGGCTCCAGAAGGTTGGGCTTAATCCTGAAGTAAGTTTATGTGTTCAATTTTTCTACAAAAGAAAAATTATATGAACACCCTTCTGGGGCTTCTAGTGGTGGTTGGATAGTTCCACATGTGGTCAGCAGAACACAAGCCATTCCTCACACCAGTACAGGACGAGCTCTGGCCCCTGTAGGGTAGGAGTGCTTCCTGCTGTGTAGCTTAGGCTCCCTCTGCGTTGTTTTGGTGGCAGTGAAAACGCCTCCTGACCACGTCTAAGTGCGTCTCACAGTGTCTGATTTCTGAATCATGTTCCAGCGGGCGTGGCCCCGCCGCATGGGCCAGCACACATTTGAGCATAACTAAGTCTTTTTCCAGATCAGTGTAATAAAGGAGTGATGTGCAATTAAAAAAAAAAAACAATAAAGAAATTTCAGAGCTGAACCACACTCTTGAACTATGGACTTAATGGGTATATAGAGAAAGTATTCCACCTCTCTACAATACAGTCAACATTTTTTTTCAGCAGCACATGGTACTTTTTCCAAAATAGATCACCTCATAGCCCACAAAGCCTGCTTATGTAAATATAAAATAAAAATTACCTATGCATGCTATCAGAACATTCTGCAATGAAAATAAAAACCAGTAACAAAAAGTCTTTTTTTTTTTTTCCCCAGAAAGTCTTGAAAAGGCAAAAGCTCCTGGAAAATTAACAACATACCCCTAAACAACCAATGGAACACAAATAAGAATTTTTAATCAAATAAGAATTTTTTTAAAAATTTCTGGAAATTAATGACAATGATGGCACAACTCACTGAAACCTCTGAGACACTATGAAAATTCATTGCAATCAATGCTTATATTAAGAAAACAGGGCAAGCTCATATAACCCTATGAGAAATCTGAAGATACTTGAGAAACAACAACAAACTAGACCCAAAACAAAATTAAGGAGGGAAATTATAAAGATGAGAGTATAACTGAGACAAAAAAAGTAAAAAAAAAAAAAAAATCAACAAATTGAAGAGATATTTTTATTTATTTTGAAGAGCTGGGTTTTTTGTTTTTAAAAATAAATACAGGGGGTTGGGGAGATAGCTCAGTAGAATAAGCACTTGCCTGGCAAGCACAAGGGCCTGAGTTCAATCCCCAGTTCCGCCAAAAAAGAATACAAATATAAATAAATAAATACAGGGTCAGAGAGGTGGCTCAGCAGTCTAAATGCTTAGGCAAGTGCGCAGGGATCGAGGTTCAATCCCTGGTGCTACATGTCAGGCCAGCCCTGCCCTCAGGGTAGGCTGAACCTGCAACTAAAAAAAAAGAAAAAAAAGATAAGCCCCTAGCCAAATTTATCAAGAGAAAGTAAGAAAAATCTCAAATCAATGAAATTAGAAATGAAAAAAGTTAAATCATAACAGATACTATAGAAATCCAGAAGATAATAACTCTTGAAAAATTGTATTTCTATAAATTAGCAAGTTTTGAAGAAATAGACAGATTTCCAGGTGAATATAAACTTCCAAAACTAACCCAAGAAGATATAAATATGCTTAACAATCCAATAGCAGCTAATGAAACTAACACAACAATAAGCAATCTACTGGGTTCACTGCTGAATGCTACAATATCTTTAAGGATGTTACATCACCAATACTCCTCAAGCTCTTCAAAGAAACTGAAAGGGATGGAGTACTCCCAAACTCATTTTTAGAAGTCAGTATCACCATGATCCCCAAAGTGGATAAAGACCCAACTAAAAAAGAAAAATATATGTCAATCTCCTTAATGAACATAGATGCAAAAATGCTCAACATGATATTACCAAATAGAATGCACCACATTATCAAAAAGATCATCATGGGCTGGTGAGATGGCTCAGTGGTCTAAAGCACCTACTTAGAACAAGCTTAGCAGAGCACAGAGACCGCGGTTCAATCCCCCAGCACCACATGCCAGCCAGCCCCGCCCCCTGGTGGGCTGAGCTGGCCACACACAC